GTTAGTTCACCAGAAATAATGTAATCTGTTATGAATACTGAAATTTTTCTATGGTTTCATTATTACAAACATAGGTTGCTCTAAAAAATTTTATTCATACCTCCATATATGTCTTAAGACTCTTTGGTAAATATCAGTACAGAATAAATTCTGAGCAAAATTGGTGGCTAGCTAGCATATGTTGCTAGTTCCTGTTATATTTTTTATTAAGTAATTCTGTACTCTCATAATTACTGTAAGAGATTTTCTGTTTTATCTTCATTTTATAAATATTGAATATTATCAATTTTCTGCTTTAAACAATCTAATAAGTAAAAAGTTATTTTTATTACTTATTGTCATTGTTTATATTTGAATTTTTCTGATTACAAGTAAAGCTTCGTATGTTCATTTCCCTTCTAATATATTGTCTACTTACATTCTTTGCTTAATTCATTTAGGAGGGCTTTGCTTATGTATTTCCTACTAATTTTGTAAAAGTGTGTTGTTAATAGTGAAAGTATATCCACTTTTGATTATGTATGTTTTGAATATTTTCTCCTAGTCAACTGTTCATCTTATTATTTATGGTGCTCATATGTGAATTTATACTCATTCATTTGTTCATTCAACAAATATCTGTTGAGTATGTGTAAGTGCTAGAGATACATTATAAGTGAAACAAACTCACTGTCAGTGTGGAGCTTATATTTAGTCAAGGAGACATTCATTAAACAAAACAAATAAGGCTATAGGGTGTTAGATGGTAATAAATCACAAGACAAAAAGTAAAGCAAAATTTGGTGATAGAAATTACTGAGTATTGTTACATTTTGAAATAGGTTATTAAGGGAAAGTATCTCTGATAACAATTGAGCAGTGACCTCATTGCATTAGGAGAGTGAGTCATGCAAAGACACTGAGGTGGGAACATAACTAATATGGTAGAGAAACATAATTGAGGACAGTGTAGATTAAGCAGCATGAGTGAGTGACACTAAATAGGAGATGAGGTCAGGTTGGTAATGGACAAGTCATCTAGGGCCTTGTAGGTCTTATTAAGGGCTTTTATTCCGGAGTGAAATGGGAGTGAATGGAAAAAAATAACATGTTTCTTTGTGTGTTAATTTTTTAAAACAAAAATTACAGCTCTTACTTTCAAATGGATAATAGAGAAACAAGGATGAAAGCAGACAGGCCAATTATTGACACTATTTAAGTAATACAGGGTAGACATGTTGATGACTTGGATTGGGGTGATGGCAGAGGAAATGATTAAAAAAAAGTATGGTTGGGTGCTGAATATATTTTCTAGGTCAAAGCAGGAAGATTTTCTTGTGGAAAAGTGTAGTATCAAGGATGGCTCCAAAATTTTTATCCAGAGCAACTGAAAATTAGGACAGATTTTGGAAAAGGCAAGATGGTGAGGAAAGGAAAGAACATAATTTTCTGGTTGTGTATTTTTTTGTTGTTGTTGAAATAGGAGATTTGTCAATTGAGAGATAGGAAGGAGGAAGATGTAAGGAAAGTTGGAGAGCTGGATTACAGGCATTTTTCCTTGATTGCTTTCTTGTTTTTATTGTTTTCTACTTATGAAGACTTTTACTTCCAAAGATCCTAAAATATATATATATATATACTTCCAGTATTTTACTTGTTTTACTCTTTATATTTGCATCCTTAATTCATCTGAATTTTTTTGTACTTTGTATAAGGTGAGGAACCTTTTTTGCCAAATAAATATCCAGTTGACCCAATTCCATTTTTTTCTCACTGATTTAAAATTCTGTTTTTACAATTTTCTAAATTTGTTGATATATTTTTTTCTAGAATGTGTGAATTTTAACATTTATATAGTGCAAAGAAAGTCACCATAATAAATCATGTATGAATTTATAATAGACGGTAGAGAAATTTTTCAATTGGGAGATATCCAAAATATATTCAGCTCTTCAAAAAACTAATTTTTAGCTTTTATATGTGGCCTACAAGTATATTTTAGTATGCAAATTCTACCTAAATTTGGAAAGTGGTAGAGATTATAAAGAAGAAAATAATGTAAAATAGCCTATTATTTCTTTCAGGTGGTATTATTAGATCTTAGAATAGTGTCAGGTTGAAAATATAAGGTTCTATAGCTCAGCTCTATAAGGCCCAGGCAGTCTTTGCTTTGCACAGTTCTGATACACACAAATTTTGGTTATAACAACTTAATTAAATAGCATCAATCCAAAACAATATGAATCAAATTTTAGTTATCATGGTTCATTAGCTTTTCAGTCCATAAATCACCAATAAGGTTGAAAGTGTTTATATCATGATCAGTGAACAGCCATTTCATTTCTTCCAAATTCTGTCAGTGACTACTAGCCATGCATCTGTTCAGTGTAAGCATACAGTTGTGTTGCCTCCCTACCTCCCAGTAGTAAACCAGTGTGGCATTTTGCAAAATGAACAGTTAAAAGATAAAATTGGCAAATAAAAAAGAAAGTTCAGGGGGCAAAAAGGAAAATGGGGCTGCCGGTGCCTCTCAGTTACAGATCAAATGGTTAACATGTGTGAGGGCCTAGGATCAATACTCACTACAAAACAATAAAACATTTAAAAATAGAAAGTAATAGTACCAGAAGTGAGATTTTAATCAATTTAAATAGAGTTACAGAAAAACGTAACCAGCAGTAGGAATGTAGACAGGGTCATCATTTGAGAAACTATAGGTATGATTCCAAGGAATACAGTGAAGGCAAAGTCACCAAAACAGATGAGAAAAGTGGCATTGATGCAAAGGACAAGGATGTTGTACAGGAAGTGAGGCATGAGAAGAGCAGTGAGCACTGTGGTAAAGATTTAGTTATGTTGCATGTTTTAATTGTTATTAGGCAAAACTTGTATTAACTGTGAAAGTGGGTATGACTCTAAGACTCTATTAGAAGAAAAATGCAAATATTCATTGAGCAAAAATAAGATGTGAATTCTTTTATAGTAATTGAAGAATTAAGATTTTCATATGTGAAACCACTATAAAAATGAAAGAATAAGAACCCTCTTTTATCTGAGAAACTGAGGCAAGAGGATTCTAGGTTCAAGCCCAGCCTGGGAAACTTAGTGATGTAGTGAGACCTTGTCTTAAAAGCTAAACAAGGGGGCCGGAGATTTAGCTCAGTGGTTCCGGCGCCTGCCTTACAAGCGCAAGGTCCCGAGTTCGATCCCCGGTACCAAAAAAAAAAAACTAAACAAGGGGGGTGATGTAGGTTAGTGCAAAGGCCCCAGGTTCAATTCTCAGTACAAAAAAAGAAAGGAAATGAAGGGGGAGGAGGAAGAAAGGAAAGGAAAGGGCAAGCAAGGGAGGCTAGGGCAAGGGAGGGAAGAGGAGCAAGGCAAGGCTGCTTTTTTTTTTTTTTTTGTATTAAATTCTTTTATTGGTACATTGTAGGTATACAACACAGTTACATTTCTCATTGGGAATTGTACCTTTACATAATGCATCTTGGTTCTTATTTTTTCCCCATTCCTAGCCCTCCCTTCACGCCCTCCACCCTTCCCTATTTACAAAGACTTTATTTCCATTTTTTCCATTTCTCATCATTTTTTCCTTTCCCTTCTTTCCTTTCCCCTGCGCCTCCCACTACCCCTACCCCTTTGGACCTTTTCTTCCTATTTTACATTATCGATTATTCATTCTAATCATTGGTACATTTTAGGTATACAACATAATGACATTCATCATTGGAAATTTGCACCTTTACATAGTCTCTCTTGGTTCTTATTTTTCACCCTTGCCCAGCCCTCCCTTCAACCCCTCCAGCCCTCCCTATTTACAAAGATTTTGTTCCTATTTTTCCATTTTCTCATATTAATCCCATTCCCTTCTATCCTTTCCTCTAGCCCTCCCACTTCCTTCCCCTTTGCCCCTTTTCTTCCTATTTCACATTACCTATTATACATTTAGTCCTTATTTACATTTTCAGTTTCTCACACCAGAGAAACTATTGGGTATTTACACATGTGTGTCCTATTTATTCCACTTAAGAGTATCGCCTCAATGTGCATCCACTTAGCTATAAATGTCTCTAATTTCTCATTTTTTATGGCTGAGTTGTACTCCATTTTATACAAGAAACACATTTTTTTTATCCAGTCTCCTGATGATGGGCATTTGGGCTGTTTCCAAGTTTTAGCTATTACAAACTGTGCTGCTATGACCATGGGCGCACATGTATCACTGTGGTATGATTCTTTTAATTCTTTGGGGAAGATCCCCAGCAGTGGAATAGAGGGGTCAAATGGGACTTCCAGTCCTACTTCTTTGAAGTATCTCCATACTGATTTCCACAGTGGTTGCACCAGTCTACACTCCCACCAACAGTGGAGCAGGGTTCCTCTTTCCCCACAGCCCTGCCAGCATTTGTTATTGGTTGACTTTATGATAGCAGCCATTCTTTCTGGAGTGAAGTGGAATCTCAGCATTGTTTTCATAAGGCAAGGCTGCTTTTTCATGTGAAGATGAGATGTTCTTTTTGCAATAGAACTTACTATATCTACTGGTTGACGTGCTTATTGTAAATGAATTGCACTGTAGCATAACAGGAATGATGATCACAGGTTCTGAAGTCAGATCCTCTAAGTTCAAATTCAGATTCCACCAGTTACTAGTTGCATCGCTGTAACATGGAGATAAAAACAGTATTTTTCTGATAGAACTGTTAGAGGTTAATGAGAATTATGCATCTACATAGCACAGAAATAACATGAACTCTAAGCTCATGTCTTTTTGCTTCAAATGAATTCTTCCATTCTTACTAATTATATTACACTTGACTTCTCTAAGATTCAGTTTTGTCATTTATAAGTGGAGATGATAAAATCTAACTCACAGGGCTGTTATGATTAAATACAGCAGATTATGTAAAGAACTTTGCAGAGTGCCAATATATAATAAAAGCTCTATAAATAATGGTATGTTCTTATACAATTTAAGTCATGTAGAAACTTCAGTTTTATCTTTTTACTCATATTTTTAGGGTGAACCTGGTCTGCCGGGAATCCCAGGGAACCCAGGTATCAAAGGTTCTATGGGAGTTACTGGTTTACCTGGATTACCAGGAACACCTGGAGCAAAAGGACAACCTGGACTTTCTGGGTTCCCAGGTAAGTATTCCTTGTAAGTTCTTCTTTGTTTCTTTATCAGCTCTAACCAGTGATCCATACAAACTTATTTGGCAGAGTAGCATTCTATTTCCCAATCAGATACATGATATGAAACTAATTCTTTACCTTTTTCTTGCCCACATGTCTTTCTGTGTAAAATGAGAATAAGTATTACCGACTCAGCAGGACAAATCCTGTGGGCAGAGAGACTTGTTTGGTGAAGCATTTTTCAATCTTTGACTGCTAGCCATAAATCAATTAAGAGGCCTTACTATTTTTGTAGGTGATAATATAGTCTGGCAGGCCCTAGCTTGCTGCTGTTTCTTTTAAAAAGTTGTACGCAAGCACGCAGTTGGTGGCTGCTTGTAGAACAATCATATTGCTCCTTCAGATGACAAAGACTGAGTCATTCATGCAAAAGGAATTAGCATTACAGCCACCTAGATAGCCTGAACTAGATTATTATAGTACCTATGTATTCATGCTGTTTTAAATTTTTTGTTTGTTTTTTTTATTACACAGTGGATGGCATGGAGTGGGTCTTCAGTTATCTTTTCCTTAACCGTTTTATTGAAGTATGCCATACATATGATAAAGTGTACAAAACTATAGATGAGTTTTTATCTATGTACATATCCCATGTACCCACCAGACATATCAAAATATAAAATAATTCTTTCACATGATAAAGTTTACTCATGCCTCTTTACAGGGAACCCTCCCCTCACTCCACCTCAAGATGACCATTATTGTAACTTCTATTGCCATCAATTAATTATGCTTATTATGGAAATTTATATAAATAGAATCATACACTATGCATCCTTGTGTCTATAAAATCTATTTATTTTGTAAGTAGGAAAAATTTATTGAGAGAAAGAAAGCTTTTTCAAAGAAAGTGGGTTGCCTGGGACCCTATTTCCCAGGGGGGCTTTATGGAGCAAAGCTAGGAGGTGAGGTGGGTTCAAGGTGGGACAAAACTATAAGAGCCAATGGAAAATTACAAGGTGGGCATGAGGTGGGGCAAAACCATGACCAACCAATAAGATTATAAGTAAAGTCACCCAGGTAATATTGATTAAATAGGGATCAAATGGGAAAACAAGTCACATACAAGGAATTTCTCATTTAGAATATCATCACTGCTATCTATCTCTAGGGGAAGTAGTACTTCTTTTCTTTTTTTATAATGCTAACTAGTGAATGTGCCTCAGTTGTTCTCCATGTTAGCTCCTCCTTGTGTTGGCTCCTTGAGGACTGATGCCTTGAGGGTGGCCCTGTGGAACTGCCTACAAAATAATCTAATTAATTTACCTATCTACAATAATCCCAGCATTCTGGGAGGCTGAGGCAGGAGGATTGCAAGTTGGAGGCAAGACTGGGCAACTTAGCCTCTTATAACACCTTATCTCAAAATAAAATAAAATATAAAAAATGGCTGATGATGTAGCTCAATGTGCAGGGCCTTGGTTCAGTCTCCATTACTACAAATGAATAAATGAATGAATGAATGAATGAAATGTTGTTACTTTTAATAAAGTCCAGTGTTTCCATTATTTTGTTTTCATAGTTAGTTATTTTTGTGTCTTATCCAATACATTTTGCTTACTTGAAGCTATGGAAATATTCTAATTTTTTCTAACTTTTAATGTTTAAACTTTCATGTTTAGGTTTATAATATTTGTTTTGCATTATTACTTGTTCTAAATTTTATTGTTGCACATTAGTTATACAGACTAGTGAGTTTCATTTTGTCATGTTGTACATGCATGTAACATACCATCACTTCCTTTCTCTTTTCTCCTCTTTCCCCTAGATCTCCTTCCTCTTTTCTAATACTCTTTTTCTGATTTCATGTCATCTATCTTTTTAAAATTTTTTCCTTAGATTCTACATGACAGAAAAAAATGCTATATGTGAGTTATGATCTATCTTGAATAAAAATATTCTTCTAGTGTGAGATAGCACTGATGGTTCAATTTTTTCCCACAGAGATATTCGATTGGTCTGCATTAGTTTTTTTGGAAGAACTTTAGTTCTCTGGATAAATTACAGTTACTCCTTTGTCAGAAAATCAGTCACATAGGTAAAACTCTGCTCCATTAGTTTGTTTTCCTTTCTTTGATTCAAAAAATTATTAATTTTTTATTAGTACAGGTTTGCAGTAGGTAATTAGTACATTAATCATGGGGATTATATAATACATCTGTTTTCTATTCTTGCCTTAATACAGCATTATCTGAATTTTATAAATTTATATTAAGACTTGAAACACGAGTACTAAAACTTTGTTCCAATTTTTTAAAGCTTGGTTTGGTCTTTTGTATGAAGTTGGGAATCTATTTATTAATTTCCATTAGAAAATGCCTGCAGGTGTTTTGATTAAGATTGCTACAAAGATCTAGATAACTGAGCAAAATTGATATTTTAACAGTCTTTCATTCAGTGGATATGTTAGCTCTCCATTTAGTTAGGTATTTAACTTAATTCACTTAAGAGTTTGTTCTCAAGGTGCATTCAATATGTCACACTTTTCATTTTATAACTCTTGATCGTCTTTTCTTAAATTTATCCCTGGAAAGTTCATGCCTGAAGGTGAGATTTGAGATGGCATTGCCTTTCCACACAATTTTCAGTTATTTTTGGAAAATATAGATATAATTGATTATAAAATCTTGCACTTGTATATAAAGAAATTGTTCATTCCATTTATTAATTCTAAGAATTTGTTTATAGGTTTTCTAAACTAACATGTCATCTCAAATATTTTCATTTCTTTTTGTTATACATATCTTTTATTTCTTTTTCTTTCTTAATTATACGGGCAGGGACCTCCAGGATAACATTTAATAGAAGTGGTTATAGTCAACATCCTTATCTTTTTCCTAAACTCAGAAGAACTGTGTTTGTTATTTTTCTATTAAATGCAATGTTGTACATGTTATTAAGACATTTCTTTCCTATTCTTAATTTACTGAGAGCTTTTTTTTTTTTATCAAAATGAATGTGAGTTTTAGCAAATCTTTTTTTCTGAATCTCCGGAAATTGATTTCTCTTTTATTTTTTTCTGTTGATTGAATTTCACTGTCATTTTTTTGTCCAAACAATCTTGTATTCTGGGGATAAACTCTAAGATGGTCATGTTGCATGTATTACTTTTAAGTGTTGCTGGATTTACACTGATTTTTTAAATTATCTATGGCTGTGAGAGGTATTGTTCTGTGATTTCCCTTTCTCATAACGTCCTTATCAACATTTTGATATAGAGATTTGTTGCCCTTGCGGGCTGGGAAGGATTGTCTTTCTCTGTTTCACTTTAAATATTTCATAATATTCAACAGTTATGGAATCCAGCCTGTGGTCTTCATGGAAATGTTTTAAATAAAAGATTCAGTCTTTCATAGTTATGTCATCACACATTGTTTATATGTTTGTTTGTAATGGGGATTAAACCCAGGGCCTTCACACGGAGCTACATGCTTACCCTTTTTATTTTTTAGTTTGAGGTAGGGTCTTGCTAAATTGCCCAGGCTAGACTCCAATTTGTGCTCCTGCTGCCTCAACCTCCCAGAGTGCTGGGATTACAGGCATGCACCACCATGCCTGACTGAGATTTTTTTCCTTTTCATGTTTGTTTTGATAAATTGTTTTTCAAGGAGATTGGCCATTTCACCTAAGTTGTCAAATCTATTGGCATAAAGTTGTTGACAGTACCCTTGTATTGTCCTTTTAATTTAGGTGAGATATGTTGTGAAGTCTGCGTTTTAATAATGATTTGAGGGCTGGAGATGTAGCTCATTGGTAGAGTGTGTGCCTATCATGTGTGAGGTCCTGAGTCTGATCCCCAACACTACAAAAGAACAATTTTTAAAAAATTTTTATTAGTACATGTTTGCAGTCCATAATGTTTTCATTCTTTGAATGGAGTTGGTACATGTATGAACACATCCCAATTCCTTTTTTCATCCCCTTTGCCTCCCCTACCTTCCCCTCCATCTCTTGATCCCTCTGCCCTTTGAGAAAGATCTGTCTCCATACTTCCTATTATCTGTCTTTTACTTTGCTCTTTACATTTAGGGTTTCTCACATAAGAGAAACCATGTGATATTTAAGCTTGTGTTTCTGATTTATTTCACTTAACATTGTGGCCTCAAAGTACATCCATCTTCCTACAAATGACCCAAGTTTATCTTTCTTAATGCAGAGTAGTACTTCGTTGTGGGTAAATACCACAAAAGAACAAAATATTTTGATTGGAGTAATTTTTGTTTTCTCTCTTTTCTCTCTTGATCAATCTTGTTAGATATTCATTAAGTTTCAAGTGTTAAAATTAATTGTTAAAACTTCTGCATTTTATTTTTCCTACTGTTTGTTTTCTAATTCACTGGTTTCTGCTTATGTCTTTATTATTTCATACCTTCTATTTCTGCTGATTTAATTTGATGTTCTTTTCCTAGCTGTTTTTGTTAGAAGTTTCAGCTTTGTCTTATAATAGGTGTGTTTGACACTTTAAATTTCCATGTACAGTGTACTTAAAATGAATCCCACAAATTCTGTTCTTTTGTGCTTTATCATTCAGTTTAAAATATTTTCTAATTTCTCTGTTGATATCCATTTTTCATAGGTTGCTTACAATGATGTTGCTAATTTGTAAACTCTGAGGGTTTTCCTAACATCTTTCTGTTATTAAATTTAGTTTAATTCTGTTGTGGTCAGAATTCATACTTTTAGTTGGGTATGGTGGTACATGCCTGTAATTTCAGCTATCTGGGAAGCTGAAACAGAAGGATTCAAAGTTCAAGGCAATAATGCGCAACTTAGCAGCTTAGTGAGATTCTGCCTCAAAATTTGAAAAGGTTGGGGATGTAGCTTGGTGCAAAAGCCCTGGGTTCAATCCCCAGTACTGCAAAAAAGAAAAAAGAGTGAATGCATACTTTGTACAATTAAACTATTAATAATAATGGAGACATATCATATGGCATGGTCTGCCTTGGCAAATTTTCCCTATTCACTTAAAAGTCATTTATAATTTGTAGCCAGCCATGGTGGCACACACCTGAAATCTCAGCACTCTGAGAGGCTGAGGCAGGAGGATTGCAAGTTCCAGTCCATCTGGGCAATTTAGGGACTTAGCTAGAGCTTGTCTCAAAAAATTAAAAAGGCGGGCCAGGGATTTAGCTCAGTGGTTTCGCTGCCTGATGCGCAAATGCAAGGACCCGAGTTTGATCCCTGGTACCAAAAAAAGAAAAGGGCTGGGGATGTAGGTCATTGTGATGGCCTGAGGTTCAATCTCCAGTACCAATAATAATAATCATAAATTATGTAAATTATAATATATTCTATAAATGTCCATTGAGTCAAGTTGGTTCGTAGTATTGTTAAAATCTTGTGTGTCCTTACCAACTTTTTGTCTAATTGTTCTTTCAATTACTGAAAGATAGATACTAAAATCTCCAACCTGATTGTGGATTTTCTTACTTCTCTCTATTTTTGTCAACTGTTTGCTATATGTATTTTCAAGCTTTATTATTAGGTTTTTATATATTCAGAAAACTTCAATTTTCTTGAAGAGATGACACTTATCTATATACAATTATATTAAGACCCTGTTTATTTTAAATAATTTTGTCTTTAGAGTCTGCTTTGTCTGATATAAATATACATATATCAGATTCTTTTTGGGGGGGGTGCACTGGGGATTGAAGCCAGGGCCCTCACACTGAGCTACATCCCCAGCTTGTTTTTGAATTTTATTTTGAGACAGGGTTCACTGAGTCCTTAAGTTGCCCAGTCTGTGCACAAACTTGCAATCCTCCTACCTTGGCTTTCCAGAGTACTGGCATGACAGGTGTGTGCCACCATGCCTGGCTCTTTAATATTCTTAATTTACCACATTCTATGTTATATTAACATAATAACACTTCACTTACAGTGTAAGATACTTAAAATAGTATAATTCTGTTTATCATGATCTTTGTGATCATGTTCATATACTTTTCTAGAGATAATAAATCTTACAATTAATTGCAATTTTTGCTGTAAACAGTCTGTTATCTTCTAAAGAATTTAATATGAGAAGCAAAACTATCTTTATACCTACCTACATATTTTCCATTTCAATGTTCTATCTTCCTGTACATCTATTTGCTATCATTTTCTAAATCCTACTCCTTGGCCTGACAATTCTACACCTTGGTATTTACTCAAGATAAATTAAAATATATGTCCACAAGGCCGGGGATTTAGCTCAGTGGTTTCGCCGCCTGCTGCACAAGCGCAAGGACCCGAGTTCAATACCCGGTACCAAAAAAAAAAGATATATGTCCACAAAAAGATCTATGCAGAAAGGGTCATAACCATTGCCTTAATAATAGGTAAAAATCTGTCAATAACCCGTATGTCTAAGGGCAGATGAATGGATTTAAAACTTCTGATTGAAACTGTACAAATTTTACAGGAGTAATATAGTGGTACTTATTTTTATATTTATGAATATATAATAATATTATCCTCTAGATAAATACATTTAAAATTTAAGACTATTCTTAAGAATATCCAACAATGACCACTTTGGGGGTGTTCCTTATGTTAATGCTATAAATTATAAGTTTGAATTGCAGCTCTCAAAGCAATGTGGTTTTCTTTATTTTTAAATTGAGCTTTTTATTCTAGGAACCCCAGGCCTTCCTGGGCCAAAAGGAATTAGTGGTCCTCCTGGGAATCCTGGCCTTCCGGGAGAACCTGGTCCTATAGGTGAGCATGAAAATTAAGACATTGTTGTTCTATAAAACTAAAGCTTATCAGACTCAATTTGGGAAAGTAAACTCATATTCAGCTGTAAACATTTCAAAAGAAAGAGATGTGATCATTCACTTAGCATTGTATGTTAGGCACAAAGAGAACAACTTTTAATAAAAATTACTGAATAGGACCTTATTTTCTAGGCTCACATTTTAGGGAGAGTCAATTCAAGTTCCCTTTTATGGAAAATAGACACTGATCTTTTTTCTAGAATGGCAGGCTGGAGAAATTCTATTTATTGACTTCTAAACTAACTCACTTATGTTGACCTATATGAGCCCTCTAATACACCCTGTTCCCTTGCACACTGTACTCTTTTGTGTATTCTAAATCCATATTAAAATGAAAAAATCTTCTGATATTGAGTGATTATGTTGTTTCTTTATCTCATTATTGCTCATTTTTTATTCTTTATTTTCATAAAATTTCATGATTTACAGACACCACCATCACCCCCAAATTTACAGACCAATCCAAAAATGGGCATCTGAGATGAATACACACTTCTCAGATGAAGAAGTGCAAACATCAAATAAATATATTTTTTAAATGTTCAACATCATTGGTCATTTGAGAGATGCAAATTAAAACAATGCTGAGATTCTACCTCACTCCAGAAAGAATGGCTATTAGCAAGAAATCAACCAACAAACGAATGCTGGCGGGGCTGTGGAGAAAAAAATAAACCTTCTCCACCATTGGTAGGAGTGCAGACTGGTGCAACCACTGTGGAAATCAGTTTAGAGATTCCTCAAAAAACTAGGATTAGAAGTCCCATTTGATCCAGCTATTCCCTTTCTTGGTATCTTCTTGAAATAATTAAAAGCATCATACCACAGTGATTTATAGCAGCACAGTTTGCAATAGCTAAATCTTGGAAACAGTCCAAATGCCCATCAACTGTTGAATGGGTAAAAAAGATGTGGGATTTTAAAAAATATACAATGGAGTACTACTCAGCCATAAAGAAGGATAAACTTGAGACATTTCTAGGTAAATGGATACACCTTGAGACTGTACTCTTAAAAGAAATAAGTCACACATGTTTAAATATTGCATTGTCTCTCTGGTGTGAGAATCTGAAAGTGTAAATAAGGACCAAAATGTATAATAGATATTGTGAAATAGGAAGAAATTGTTCAAAAGCAAAGGGGAACTAGAGATGGGAGAGGGAGAAAGGAAAGAAAAAAAATGAGAAAAGAAGCATAAAATGGAAATAAAGATTTGTAAATAAGGAGGGGAGGAGAGGTTGAAGGGAGAGAAAGGGAATGGGAAAAAAGAGGTATCAAGATATATCATGTACAGGCACAAATTCCCCATGATGACTGTGATCATTATGTTTATCTAAATTGTACCCAAAGAAGTATGAGAGTTCTAAAAAACTTTCATGATGTAAAGAAGTATTCCAGAAGCACTTTGTGTCTTTTGGAAAGAACTATTTGAAGCTAACATTTAAAAATTGAGGTATGTGGACGGAAAGGGAGTTGAAAGATGAATTCAATTTGCTGTAATCTGTTCTTTAGGTGGTGGAGGTCATCCTGGGCCCCCAGGGCCTCCAGGTGAAAAAGGAACACCAGGTCAAGATGGTATCCCTGGGCCAGCTGGACAGAAGGGTGAACCAGGTGCTGTATGTTTTCATTTTTCCTAGCTTTCTAATTTTCTCCTCGCCTATTTTAACTTGACCTTCTTCATCCACAATGAAATAGTGTCTTCTTTTTATTTTCTATTCTGCCATATATTTTCTCCTTCCCAAGTAGCTTCCTTCTGTTAGAGAGAATATGACCTCATACTTGTTGATCAGGTTGCTGCCTTATTACAAAAAAAATTCCAACATTGACTAGTTCAATTCTTTTTTTTTTTTTTTTTTTTAGTTCTTTTATTGGTACGTTTTAGGTATACAATTCATTTACATTTATCATTGGGTATTCATACCTGTACATGATATATGTTGGTTCTTATTTTTTTCCCCATTACCTGTACAACCTTCACCCCCTCTGCCCTTCCCTATTTACATAGATTTCATTTCCATTTTTTTCTTTTCTCATAGTTTTTCCTTTCCTCTCTTCCTTTTCCCTTCCCCTCCCTTTGACTCCTTCGTCTTTGGACCTTTTGTCTTATTTCAAATTATCAATTATTCATTTTAATCATTTTAAGCCTTGTTTACACTATCAGTTTTTCACACTAGAGAAACTATTTGGTATTTACACATGTGTGTCCTACTTATTTCACTTAAGAGTATGGCCTCGATATGCATGCATTTAGCTATAAATGACTCTAGTTTTTTGTTCTTTATGGCTGAGTAGTTCTCCATTTTATAAAAAAACCCCACATTTTCGGGCCGGGGATTTAGCTCAGTGCTTCTGGAGCCTGCCACACAAGTGCAAGGTCCCAAATTCAATCCCCAGTACCAAAAAACAAAACAAAACAAAACAATAACCCCAAGAAAACCAATGATAATAAAAAAAAATACATTTTCTTTATCCAGTTTCCAGTTGATGGGCACTTGGGCTGATTCCAAGCTTTAGCTATTACAAACTGTGCCGCTATGAACATGGGGGCACATATATCACTGTGGTATGAATCTTTTAATTCTTTTGGGAAGATACTCAGCAGGAAAATAGCTGGATCAAATGGGACCTCTAGTCCTAGTTCTTTGAGGTATCTCCATACTGACTTCCACAGTGGTTGCACCAGTCTGCACTCCCACCAGCAATGGAGAAGGGTTCCTTTCTCCCCACAACCTCACCAGCATTTGTTATTGGTT